AGGTCTGTCTGACACGTTGAGCTACGTCTGGTCTGTCTATGGCAGGGGCGCAGAGAGCATCCACCACTCTCTGCCAGGTGGGAGGAGAGGGAACTTTTGTGAGCCAGACACACAACATCTCCACCAGACAATCATCAGGATTGTTCATGCACTGAATTCGAATGGCATTAAGATCTGATGGCTTCGTCTTTAACTGCACTCCGAGATGATACCACTTGTCCCTAACTTCATGGAGTTCATTTACTAGTGTTGCAAGATCATCTGTGGTTAGGGTATCTGCAAATTAAACAATCACTAATGAATAAGTTGGCATACTAATGTGTGGTACTTACCAGGGCCAGGGTTTCGTTCCACATCTCCAGCCATCATGAGCAGCAGCTGAGTCACAAACACTATCATTGTCACCTCACTCAGACCAGGCCTCTTTATGTTAGAGAACAGCAGAGACATTAGGTAGCCCACACTTTCTGCAACTGAAGAGGAGAGAGACACACATCAAACACACACTTCATTGTCTGCAGTCAACTAACCGTGATAGTGGAGTTGGAGTATGTGTCTCCACAGCAGGATCACCAGTTGAGACACAAGTGACGTGGCCAGCACAGCACTGGGCCTTGCTTTCATTGCCAGCACCCGAGTCTTTCCCCTGCTAGCCGACTGACAGACATGCTCACCGCCTTCCTTCACCATCTCTTCCGTCTTCTCCTGTGCCTCCTCCAGACCAGACCGGACAAGCTGTGCTATGGTCACCAACAGAACCACACATCCTTTGTAGGCCACAGGATCACTGGCCTTCAGCCACTTGTTCCAGTGGGGACCAATGGGGCTCCGTGGCTTGGGAGCTGCAGACCTAGCCATTGCCCCTACAGCTGCCCTCCACTGTTCCACACTCACTGGCATGACTCTCAGTGGGGGAGTGGAGGTGGTGTTCCAGTAAAACACAAGACCAGCTGATGTTCAGTGAAAGAGGAGGGAAGAATGTGGCGGAAAGGTTTGTTGAAGATTTGAAGAGAAAGTAGAGTTTGGATCAAGAGTGGTGAGCTTAGATATAAGTTTAAGGGAGAGAGAAGTTCAGACTGGGGTGCGACGTGGAAAAGGTTGAAATGTGTTTGGAGCCGGACGAAAGAAGCGAGGGTTGTTTTTTGTAATCGGTTCAGTATAGAAATTACTGTTGGGAGAGAAGACAACTTTTTTAGAAACTATTTGGATTAGTGTGTGGTCGAATGTAGCAGGTTTGACTCTCTGGCAATGACACAGCAATAATTACAGAGTTGCAATGGAGTAAAAGTTAATTTTAAAAGCGAGTAATAGGCGAGGGAGGTAAACCCACGTAGTCATCTGTATGTGGGATTTTTATGTTGTGACCCATACTGCCGTACTTCACATATACCGTATAAAACAACGCGAAAAATTAAACAGCGCTCTTCGCTAGACCAAAATGCGTTGCATTCGTTTTATGCTTGCTCACACAAAGAGTATGCATGCGTATTGTAGTGCTGCTTTAGCTAAGTATAAAGCCACCCCCCTGGGCTACGTTCAACGTTGTTCAAACTCTTTGTTTTGCCAACTAAGGCACAGGTATCATTAAACAGTGATTCTTCGATACTTAGGCTTTCAGATTGTTTTCCTGAGTGCAGTTGAGTTGTTGTCTTTGCACATGTGTCTTATACGAAGTGAATACATAACATAATCGTATACAGCATTTTGATGATACACACACAAAATTTCCCTGTGTTTGGATTGTGTCATCAGACAAGGTAGACTAGTGTACATTGTAGAGTTTAGCTAAAATGCTATATAAATACATGGATAGCAGTTTTCAACAGTATTATGAGTAATGTGAGAGCATTACGAATGTGCATTAGATAGTATCTTTAATTTAGCAGCCCCAGAGCCACACAAAACCTAATAAAAATACCGCCCTCCTGGTGAATACAACTGGTAAAGTTAATTACTGCGCATGCGAAATTTCATAATCATTACAGCAAAAGAATGAAAGTGCAGTCTAGATGTACACTACCCACTATACGCATACGCAAAAACTGGCCCTAATTGATGGACTGGGCCACTGTCACTGACTCACTGACGATAGCAGTTTCTCGCTCTACACACGACATGAATAGCATTTAGTGAGTAGGATTGGTCGTTAATTGGGGGGCAAATATACAACTCATCGTACGTCCTTGTAATATGCATGCATCAAAATTACGCGCTTTTATTTAGTGGTAGGGAACATTGAAAACCATTCATCCGCGAATGCGAATGTATTATAAAACTTGCAACTGGAATTACTTTAGGCGTGTCACACGATTGAAACTAGTATAATATAGAGGCTTTCCACTTCATTTCAGAACCCCTTCAACATCCGTTTCACACTCCATTGTGCAGCATACATTCCACAAGACAAGAATGTGTACTATGTGTGTACATGTTACCAACCACATTACTACGTTTGTTAGCATGCACTAGCCAGCCACTCACATGTAATTGTGTCCAGAGTGTCCGTATGTCAATATGGGGGTAGTAATACTAGGCACTGGTATTTTATGCATAATCTCATTTGATACTCATGGCATCCCAGTTCGGGCTATATATTATATAAGGGGTTCCACTTTGAGGCAGGCTCTACCTATACATCTCTTTGATTCTGCTTCCTATTCCTGCCGTTTTACAGGCCTACGCACAGCTGTGCCTGCCTTTCAGCCTGCTGAGACATTTATGACATGTCTCACTCAATCCGGACCTTTTTGCTTTTTTTTAGGGTAAAGGGTCGATGAAAGCAACATCAAAGCACCAACTGCCACATCCAAGTGCCGACTAAACCACTTCTGAGGATACAGTACGTGGATGATTTTTTATGAGATAATGCCGCCATGCCGCCCGCCTACCGGGACAAAGTTCACAATTGTGCGAGGTTTGTTGACATTTCTAGATGTTCGTAAATTTACAACATTTTGTGACTGAAAGGGATAGCTATGCACTCCACCAATGCTTTATGTGGACCCAGTGTTCTTACTAGATACAAGCTTTAGATACAGGCTTTAAATCTGAGAAGCCACCCTTATTCAGTGGTTGGAGTGCCCCAGACTGCCCTATTTTATCGGTGGTGGCCGCCAGCAAAGCATTTAAAAGGGGCGTGGCTCATAAAAAGTCTACGGTAATAGCCGCTTCATACAGGCTGTCAGTAGCAGTTCATTTTGAGTCACAAACCTTCTCTGAGGGTTCCTCCTGAAGATCTCGACCGAACAACTACACGCACTCAGGGGAAAGCCACTTCACTGTCGCGAACAACGGCCACGCCTTCCAAGGATCAAACACAGCCGACGGTGCGCATTGTAAATGCGGAGCGCGTTGTGTTGACTGCCCGTGTCGCGGGCTGCATCGCGTCGCGTCGCGTTCGAAGCACGCTACTCGTGGAGCTCGGTAACAAGGAACACGATGTTAGAGCAGTTCACCACCGAAGACGTCATCTCCCTGGCCTTCTACCTCAGTCTCCTGGGATCCTTCCTCTGCTTCCTCAAGTTCCTAACAGACGCAAACCTACGAGCCTGGTCCAACATTTGTAAGGACAAAGCCTGGGCCAGAGAGAAGAGGGGAGAGAAGAAAGCTAGAAGAATACCGGAGCGTGAGCTGCTGGGAAATGCGTGGTTTGGAGGGCCGTGCGGGCTCCTGGCTATGGTGGTAGAGTGGCACAAGGTGAGAAAGCCACTCTTTGTTGGTGGCTACTTGTGTCGGAGTCTGACAGGAGCCGGGGTGTGTCTGCTGGTTCTCCTGCTCTACCTGGTGCTGGCTCTGCCCCACACTGTGGCCCACTGGTCATCTGCCAAGGGCCTGATACTCAATTTCCTGGAGTGGTCAGAACAGTTCCGCTCTGTCCTCCTCTTCTGAGCTCTTCCCACTTTAGACGGTCGCAACTCTTGGTAGCTGCAGCCACTCTTTTGGTGGATTTGTGTATCAGGCAAATACCTAGGCTACCTTTTCCTTACGGTTGTATTTTAGAGACCAATGGCGTGCTTTGTGTTTCAGTGCCCCGCCCTCTCTTTTTTCAGTTTACACTTTGTACATACGACTAACTGGAAATTGACTTTCACTGATTTGTCATACAAATGGGCCTACGTATATATTTTTTGCAGTGGAAAAACGTCTATTGATACTGCAAATATTTTTTCTCTACAACTGTACACACCCTCAGTTGAGTGCATAGACTTTTCTTTGCTAATTCGACACAATTTGTGTACAATGGCATCACTGACGTCCTGATTTGGCTGATTCTGATACGAGCCTGCCTATTATTACACGCACGTGTAACGACGCGTACGCCAGACGACGCGCGTTTGCGCTCAGCGTCGCGTCTATAACGCGTCACGAATGTGACGTAATCAATAAACGAGGGCGTGTCAGAGGTGTGTGTATTCAGTGTTTACGTGTGTGTGGCCGCTCACCTGACTCTTTTCTATGCCTTATAACCCGAGCGGACGGTAGACCGAGAAAATCGCTAGCGGTCAGACGTCCCGGACCTTTTCCGATTCGGAGATTCTCGGTGGCTACGTCAGGAGGGTCCCGGCTCATCGTAGCGGCATCTAGCTACTCTAGTCTGGCAAAGGGCTGCTGTCTTCTGAGTCAGTGAGTCCACGAGAGTCATGACAGAAGCTACGATCGACTTCGTCTCAGGATGGATTGGCGGTGAGTTGAAACGAAGCACACGGTCGGCCAGGGCAGTAATGGATTTATGTTCGCTTGGAGTATCTAGCTACACACAACTAGCTGTGTATAATTTCCTGCAGGCATTGCCGGTGTGGTGGGATGCCATCCATTTGATACTGTCAAGGTAAATATTGATACATCGGCCTATACACCTAGCATTGAACTGTAGCTGGTCATGATATTGACTGCTGTTCACGAGCATTATTCACTAGAAATTTGGAGGATTATGGGCAAGAATTTCTGCTGCTAATTATTACCTTATAGCACTTAAGAATATTGATACAATTGCAGTTGTCACTGAAGAGACTTGACTTGAGCTCTAGGCAACTATTCTTGATATGTTGAATGATTGCACAATGCCACTGCTCTAGTTACTGCTACCCACAACATCAATTCCTCCCTATTACATCAATATGTACACACACACTTTTTACAATTCTCAGTATACTACGTATAGCAACTGTTAATTTGTAGTATTTTGGTGTTACTGTGCACCTGTCAGCATTGTTCGCAACAATCCCTGCCTAGACTGCCGAGTGTCGTGGATTTGAATCCCACTCTGGGTAGCTTTTAGAAAAAGAGCTGCCCTGGGTGTAGTTGATTTGTTTGTTGTGCCTTTGCCTTTCTACATCGTAGTTGACATACATAATCCTGTTGTGTTTCAATGTGAGCAGTGCAGGATCCAGTCCCAGGGCTCAGGGGAGATCCCAGTGAGGTACAGGAGTGGCTGGCACTGCTTCACTGACACTCTCGGAACTGAAGGGGTCAGTTGCTAGCTGTAGACATGTGTTTACTACTGTGGTGATGATGACTTAGCAAGGAAGACCACAGCTTCTTCATATTAGGTGCACTAAAGAAGCTGGTTCTTTCTTCTAGTGAATAAACCCAGGCACACTAATGCAGTACTGTTATATTATAGGTGCAGCACATTTAGAATTTCAGGTGCAATTTATTCATAATGCTTGCTGGCTAGCGTTGCAAAGTACACACTGAACTGGCAGTTTCCGAGGAACCAACCTCTACACCTGCATGAATAATGGTCTGGGGATTGCCAGCACTCGTACACAACTCTTGTCATAATTATTATAGTGCATTGTGAGCAGTTGTACATAGCTATACATGCATGATGATGGAACATGAATAGCAACCACTATTCGGGGGATAAGCTAATAAATTATAACTTATGTATATACCTAGTAACTATGATGAGCCTGATTTCACTAGTGCAAGGATAGAATAAGAATTTAACGCACAACTATAGCCAGAAATTAATGCAGAAAATCACTTACATATCGCGAGCTATACCTAACCCCATAAAGTATATAAAAATGTTAAGTTACACCAGTCTTCCACCACATAAAACATTTCTCAGTTACATCACCACTGTCCCCCATCCCCCCACTGCAGATGAGGGGTCTGTACAAGGGAGTCCTACCCCCGGTGCTGGCCCAGGGAGCCATCAATGCCATAGTGTTTGGAGTGGAAGGACTCGCCCACAGGTTCCTCCAGACCCGCCTCAGAGAAGAGCCGTCCAAGGAGGTCAAGATTGGCTTCCTTGCCGGGATGGTTGGCGGGTTCGTACAGAGCTTTGTGTGTGCCCCGGTGGAACTGGTCAAGTTGATAACCCAGCACACCGCAGTTGGAGAGCATAGTGTGTATCGTGGCAACTGGGAGACTCTGAGACTGGTGTACAGGAGAGGAGGTGTGAGGGGGTGCTATCAGGGCTTCTGGGTGACTGCGTTTAGAGACACGCCTGCTTTCGCCGTTTATTTCGCTTCGTACTATGGGCTGATGAACTGTTTCGCAAGAAGGAAGGGTGTTAGTAGGGAGGAGTTGGGACAGCAACTGATTTACCCTTTCTTCTGTGGCGGGCTAACGGGAATGATCACATGGACAATCAACTATCCCGTGGACCTCGTGAAGACTAGGATCCAACTCGATGGAACTGACGGGAGGCCGCGACAGTACAGAAGCTCGTGGGACTGTTTCGCGAAGGCATGGAGAGAGGGTGGAGCCAGACTCCTCTATCGCGGGCTGGCTCCCTGCTACGTGAGAGCCTTTGCCAATAACTCGTGTCTGTTTGTGGCCGTGGAATTGTCCAAGAGAGGCTTTCATAGACTCCATAGTGGTGAGAGCAGAGGTCTATAAATCTGTAGATGATTTGAGAGTTTTATCGTCTATTCTCGGCAACGTAGAGGTTTGTTTGTTTTGGTGCCAGATCTATAGTTTTGTGTGTTGGCTCGCAGTCAGTTTTTAGCCCAGTTTATTACCGTTTTCCCGTCATTATTAATTGTGCACAGGTGTATTTTTTTTATACCAAAGCAGATTGTTTATTTATTTTTGTGGAAAGATATTATATTTTTTAAACGAGGGAGTGAATTCATAATGCACCGAAGCTCGTGAATAACGACGCAACCACATACCTACAGAGCAATGATTAATTGCTTCACGTTGGTAAATTTAATACTGATTAAGAATTCAATATCTTCTGATAATGCAGAGCAGTGCAGATTGTGAAATAGATTTCTCTGTGATATAATTAATGGTGTAAACGAGAGGGTGAGGGTTAATCAAATGAGCCATCTGGGTGGAGTTCTGCCTAGTCTGGTTAGGAGCTCTTTCAGCTGGGCATTGTGTGGAGCGTAGTAAGAAGAGAGCCACTGTTGATCTTCATCTGTCATTGGAGGGTAGGACCTCCCTTTACTCTTACCTGGACAGACCAACAAACACCCTTCACCTATAGTCAGGCTATAGCTACTTTGTTGTGATTTACAATTTTCGTTGAAAAACGTATCGTTGAAATGCATAGAAATGCACCTATACCCACAATTTTGCTGAGAAACACTTCTTAGGAAGCCCCTTAGCTTAGTTGTTGTTTTAAGTAAGAGGCCTGAAGTGGTATAAGAGGTAATCATAGTCATAGTCCACTTCCTCTTTTCAAGGGCATGTTTTTATTGCACGTTAGGAAACAAAGGAACCAGTAGCTGATTAATAGTGTATTTAGAGCCAGAATATCTTGCTTAAACTGTAACGGCCTACCATCGCCTGGCGATTCTCGCTAGAACACTTCGATAGCCGCTTGCTCACACACACGCGGTCTCAGTCTCAACAACATCGTCACACGTCACGTCTCGCGATCATACACAGACAAAATGGTGACAGATGATTACACAATCTTACAAAACTATACACAGTATACTACACTGAACTTTATATACATAGCAGACACTATACACATGTGAACCATTAATTAACAAAACATACGTACCTAGACACTTCTTCCTTCTGTTGCTCTCCACGACACAGTAGAACCCTTTACGAGAGTCATACCTGATGCATGGGATGGGGAGATGATGATTGATCCGTATCAGTGATTTGTTAATGCTTGTACAGTGCATAATGTGAGGGTGCATTTCAATGTCTGTGATGACACGCAATCTACTTTACACTGTATCTCTCTTTACCAACTGCACTGAATCAAAACCAACACCAGTACTTTACATTCACTGGCTGCTCTTAGTACGTTGTGATACAAGGAGAATTGGGGACTTTCATTAGCTATAGTACACGTAAGCTGTTTGGGCTTCATACTATATAGGACTGCTCCTAAGATTCCCTCTTCCTGTGAGGTCAGACGACATTTCCTGCATTCCACCACACACAGAGAGTCTCTCCTACTCAACCTACTGTATATAGGTGCATCCTTCCTCTTTGACTGTGAGAAGTGCTAGAGTGCTGTACCCACACATGTGGAGACTATGGGGGCTTTGCTACACAGAGTCTACTGGTCTCCATGGCTCCAATAGTGAGAGTGGGGGAGGGTGACAAATGGACTCTGGAATGCCATACCGGTGTTAGAATTTAATTAACATAATCTGATTGCCAATGAAAGCCAGCTCTTAATCATGGAGCTATTGAGGTTAAGTGCTACATTACACAACATAGAGGCTCTTAAATAATGGTACCATGCCCATCCTACCGTACTTATAGTCAGTTACATCATTACACCCATGAAAATCAATTGGGTAGTGGCAGTCCAAATGCTCAACGTGTTTTGTGGATCCCAGTAGCACACGTGTGTGTTAGTACTGGGGTTATACGTTTAGTATAGTATGCTACTATTAGGGCATATAGACTGACTGTAGAATGTTCTGGAAGGGGTGGAAAGGGAGTCTGAGGAACTCCAGAAGTTGGTCCATGACAGCAGCTGGTCTCTCAACCAACTCATCTCCATCTATCAGCAGCAACTGAGGACGAGGTGCAAAGGAGGAAGAGAGTGACAGAAAGAGATGTACATTACACCGGAGCTTTTAATACGAATGCTGAATATTATTAGTCTACCTCTTAGTTGACACATACATAGATATTGTATCATTGCCGAGTGAAGCGAGCCGGCCTACTCATTTCAATGCAGGAAGTTTCAATTACTATATATGACGGCTCTGTTGGGCACTGCACACACCATAATGTTCTACAGGATTCTCAAAACACACGAAATATCATAAATATTGAACTGTTGCGCTCGCTCGCTAAATATGCGTTGCGCTCTCTCTAATATGTATGTACCTGACTGTGGTCATAGTATTCCAGCCAGTGAGAGATGTGTTGGTGGTAGTGACCAGGAGTGAGGCAGTGGTGGGAGAGGGAGGAGAGATGGGGAGGGGAGGAGGGAGAGGCCCTGATGACCTCTGAGAATGAGAAACGGACAGCCGTTGGGTCGGAGTGAGCTCTCTGGTGCTGAGGGATGAAGTAAGGGAGAGGTGAGAGAGACAGTAGAGGGAGGGTAGTCTTCTGTATGCAATTCACTTCAAAAAAGCTCTACGTGTCAACTATTGAGTGACTGTACTACATTCTCTTGCCCCAACAATATCCTCATCTCGTCCAGACTATTCCTCTTCTCTTCCTATCTCACTCCTTCTTTTCAGATCCCACCTAATTGTAGATTATCATTATTGGCGAGTGAAGTGAGTCCACCTAGGTGTCTAAATGCAGGATTTTCCATACTATAAAGTTTATACATACATCCGTAACGGGCAACCAACCCACGGACCAACACACAGTAATGTTCTACGTGATTCTAAATACACGCAAAACTACACATGCGAAATTTTGAACTGCTCACGCTCGCTCGCCAAACAATGTGTCACATTCTTCTAGTTGTCTAGCTCCCTAGAATTCCACTGTCCCTTTACCAATACCCACCTCAACCCACAAAATGAGGGGTCAACAAAAATTTGTACGCACATGAGTGTGATAAGAGACAAACCAACTACCCTTTATACTTTGACTACAGTTGGAGTATGGAATAGTAACATAATATTTCTCGCTGCACTAGTCCTATCTCGCCCAATTCCGTGTCCCCACCAAATGAGGGGTCAACAATTTTGCATTTTTTGTAGGCACATGAGTTGAAGAAGAAACAAACCAACTATCCTTCATACTTTGACTACAGTAGGAGTAAATAGTAACATACTCTATCTCGCTACACCTATTCCTATCTTGCCCAAATTCCGTTGTCCCACCAAATGAGGGTGTCAACGATTTTGCATTTTTTGTAGGCACATGAGTTAAAGAAGAGACAAACCAACCATCCTTCATACTCTGACTACAGTAGGAGTATGGAATAGTACATACTCTATCTCGAGGCACACAAAAATGAGGGTGTGTCAGCAAATTGACCAATCAGATTGCGCTATTTGACTGTCAAAGTTGCTAGACACTGTTGGATGGTACAACACTGCACCTTTAACTAAACAGGTATTATATATAGTAGAGTATATTATATCATATCACCTGGTACCAGGAGTAAGCTCTGTGAGAAGGGTCAGCCAGAATAACGACCAGCTGAGCCTGCGGCAGAACAGCCTTAGCTCTCTGCGGGGCCTGAGGATGGACAAAGTAGGTGGCACTCTTCTCAAAGAGGAGGGTCGGGGGAGGGGGAGGGGAAGAAGGGAGAGAGGAGTTGGTGGGGGGAACAGAGGGAGATGGTGGGTAAGGGAACTGCTCCATATACCTGTGGAAGAGAAGGAGGACAGGGGAATAAGTACTGTAGTTAGACATTGACTCTGTGAAATCCACGTGCATTAGAAGCCCAAGGGCACTTGTGTTGTATGTACTACGTACATATGTAGTGTTCCGAGTGCAACGGACGAGATGCCTAACGTATTTAGTACATACTGTAATTGACACACACTAGTTTTTCCGCGTGCTGCTAGTTGAATAAGTACAAAACTGTATACGTGGCTTGAGCCTATATTCATTGCTAGAGCCCATGACAATGTGACACTTGTGCTGCATATTATTGGACAGAATAATTGCCCTCCCCTAGGAATAAATCCTGTATGCCACCATGAATCAGCTGTGTGTGAGATGGTGTGTGTGAGATATATAGCGTGTGTGAAGACACAGACCATTGAATGCCTCGCTGGTAGAGAGTGTCATCTGAGAAGAACTGAACCTCTTCGTAATGGAGCTCTGACTGTCTGTTTGTCTGCACCTGAGGATGGAGACTGAAAGAGGTGTGTGTGTGTGTGTGTGTGAGGGAGAGGGGAATGTAGACAATTGAAACAGACGGAGTAGTGTAGAGTGTATTACTCTGTCTTAGTACACACTCACACATGCAACACAAGTCTACTAAGTCTTGTAGTAACTCGCATCTGCGCTCAGAACGCTGTATGCAACGCGTCGAGGGCTTCAAATGCACATAGATAATTGATTGTAGCGTGGTTGGTTGAAGTTTGCCTCTGTCGTGTTGTATTGTGTGAACCACTACCAATAATGGTGAACTGCTCACACTCACCTGCCAAATGTGTGTTGCGTTTGTTCTAGCATAGTGAGCTACATATAATAGTATAGTATAGTGAGCTACATATAATAGTATAGTATAGTGAGCTACATATAATAGTACTGTTTATTGAGCTACATATTACAATAGTATAGTATAGTGAGCTACATATAATAGTACTGTTTATTGAGCTATAATGTATAATAGTATAGTATAGTGAGCTACATATAATAGTACAGTTTATTGAGCTATAATGTATAATAGTATAGTATAGTGAGCTACATATAATAGTATAGTATAGTGAGCTACATATAATAGTATAGTATAGTGAGCTACATATAATAGTATAGTATAGTGAGCTACATATAATAGTATAGTATAGTGAGCTACATATAATAGTATAGTATAGTGAGCTACATATAATAGTACTGTTTATTGAGCTATAATGTATTTAATAGACCTGAGGAATGTATGAAGGGCAGTGGTGCCACTCTTCTGAGGTCCCAGTATGAGAAGTTGTGGGAGTTGAGAACAGTTGAACCACGCTGGCAAGATTTCCCTGTGACGCTTGTTGGAACATGGTGACTGGAGGGAGGACCGGCATGTGAACGACCAACCAACAAACTATGACAGCAGTTGGTGGGTGGAATAGCAACTCACTGTCCAGAGAGGGGACGTGTCTTCAGGGTAGAGGGAGAAGTATCTGTCAGCCATGGCTAGGGGACCAGGGTAGCTCAGCTGCAGCTGGGTCCAGCGACTGGTGAACTTGAAGAGAGCTGGGAACAGTGTGAGAGCCAGCCTGTCGCAGCAGTAGTTGGGAGTGTGGGTCATGAATATTGACACCTGGGGAGGTATATTATAGGAGAAGGGGAAATGAAACTAAGTGAAAAATGTCTTGCCGTGCATGAAACAGAATCACTTCATACGTAAATGCTACTACATTATATTACACGAGTGTGCGTAACACAGTGGTTTTAAATTTTAACACCAGGTAGAGGGGATTTAAAACACTGATCATGATGTACACTATATATAACACCTGGTAAATTTTACCAAAACTATCGGGGATCGTGAGAGGTACTAAGTAAACACGAGCAATTTGGACATGCATAACTGGGTGATCTCTCTGGATCTCCGATTGTGAGGTGCTCAGCAAAAAGTTAGTCTCACGGGGGTTCGGAGGAGGGTGAGGAAGACTTCACCTCCGGCTGCGAGGGAGACGAGCTGATTCCTGCCTCCAGGGAAGTGGGAGTAGAGGAAGGTGTGGGTGAACAGACGACACGTCTGCCGCGGGAGAACCTGGTGAGAGCAGGGTGAGGAGGGGAGAGGAACAAGTGGTGAAGAGTGGAAAGAAGAGGGGACACTAAACAATGACATCAAACTGCCGGGTAAGATACGTATGCTGAATTAGTAAGAGCTGCGGTTTTGTGATTTTGAGGTTTGTTGCAATTTTTTCTGTATGAATGTATATATCTTTGCTTCAACACATGTACAGCACGGTGCATATCACGTACCACGTCTAGTACTACGTATGTATATAATAGGAACTGCATTCTTAAAAGATTTTTTTTGGGAATTCTGCATGTCTCAACAACTTGGTAACGAGGTAGAAAGGCAAGGCAAGGCAAGGCAAACAAGTCAACTACACCCAGGAAAGCTCAAAGAAAGGAAGATGAGCTGCCCTGGGTAGGATTCGAACCCAGGACACTGCAGTCTAGCAACACAAGCAAACCCACCCTGTTATGGCACAGTATACTCTCACTCAGTATGGATGTGTACAGTTGTGTTGGGTACCTTTGCCTTGCTTTTACATCATTGCTAACACATGTACTGAATATACCTCCATGCAGAAAACATTGAAGTGCAATCTCTTGGAACTTGGTTGTAAGTGGACATCTGGTTAACAATTTGGCTAAGTCCCAGATTCTCACAAACACACAATATGTAGGTCAGCTAATACCTAGGTCAGCTGGTATTTTCCAAATCTCACACAGCACATGAAATATGTAGGGCAACACTAGTACAAGATGTACTTGTACATGCCAAGAACTCATTAGCAATTGGCCTTTTTCACTTGCTATTCCACAATACAACCCTAACCTCATACAACCCTAACCTCCTGTTTGCTATGACACTGATATCACTGCTGTGTAATAATTATACTGAGCCTGCACTTGTAGTATACTGAGCATACACTGATTCCTCTGTGTAGTATACTGAGCATACACTGATTCCTCTGTGTAGTATACTGAGCATACACTGATTCCTCTGTGTTTGAATCCTCGTCTCATGTGGTCAGGTCTGAGATCAGGATACTCCTCTGTCGACGTCACTGAGACGTTCCATATCTTGAGAGAGAGGCGGGGGAAGGAGGGAGGGAAGGATCACAGCTTGATTCAATTGGTGTTATGCAACTCGTCTGTTTCAAAATGACGCGTAAAAACCAGTGTGTGTCTTAAATAGTTTAAGAATCTCGTCCGTTGAAATCAACGGGTGTTCGAAGCCTTCAGCCAGTGTACTTTGAACGCTAAAATGTCCTTGGGTTTCTAATGCACGTGTTTTATTTCTTCTCTATTTCCCCGCTGCTGTCCAGATGTTGGCACTGACCTGTCTCCATGAGTCATAGAGAGGAGGATGGACTGGGTAGACTCCTGAGTGGTGGGGAGATACCGCGTAATGGTGGACTAAGGCTGGGATACCATGGTCCTGGGAGAGAAGAGGGAGGGAGGGAGGGAGAGGGAGGGAGGGAGAGTAAAAGGAGAAAGGGCACAGTAGAGTAAGTTAGTGATGGCATTCTTGTGGCCATGGTCCCACAGCTCTATAAAAACTCCATAGACCACAACGGTGTTCATTAGGGTTAGTCTACAAACCACCTGGCTGCTGGTGCTCATAGAGCCACTACCACCACCAGTCTATCTGTCTGCTTTGCTTATGCTTCGCTTATGCATTGCTCTAGTGTATGTGTGTATGTATGTATAGAGAGAGAGAGAGAGAGGAGGAGAGAGCTAACCTTAGCAAACTGTCTGTTCAGCTCCATGCTGGTCCGCAGTTGACGAGGACTCATACTGTGTGGCTGGTGGTGTTTGTAGGTGTGGTCAAACCACCAGAGCTGCTCCGCATTCCGTACCAGTTCCTGGTTGCCCAGTTTCTGCCAAGGACAAAAGGTTTCGAGGACGAAATAATTTGCGAGACACAAATTTCCCAAAGAAAACGTTTGTGGTTTGCTTGTCCCACACCATCAATACAAACATCCATGTTTACACACATCTGAGGAAAACTCAACACCACACAATTCCTGGGAGATTTGCAAAGGGTATGTCATTGTTAGGTTTAGGGACTATAGTAGCAGACATCTGAGGAAACCTCCACAGACGGCTAACACATCACAATTCCTGGGAGATTTCTCTCTTGCTTTTTAGAAGCAACAGGTATGTGCCATATCACATGGCATTTTCTACATGTAGTTGTTAGGTTTAGGGACTATAGTAGCTGAGACCCCTCATGCTCTTGGTGCATAAACTCCCTAGAGTTTCCCAGGAAGGTGTGAGGCACTCCTGTACCAGACATCCCTCTAGAGGAAGATCCCCGCCACCTACTGAGCTCACCTCCTCCATTAATGCCCCAGAGTTGTAGTATCCTCCGACAAAGCCGGCGTTGAACGTGAAACCAGGTACCATCTGACGAAGTTTAGCCTGGGCCCGCAGCACGGCCTGTGGACACGTGTGGGCAGTACATAATAATGATGTGTGCAGAACAAATAACACAAGCTTTTTGGCGAGGAAAGCGAGCAGTTCAATATTTTCTCAGGCAAAATTGGGCACCAGTTGGTGTGAAAATAATTGACATCAATTACGTGCTGTGGATGCATACCGTATACTGTCACAGGCATATCCCTACCTTCTAATGCCTGTGTATCCAATGTCACACTATAGCGTTGTCATGTGCACCATTAATTATGACCTTTGATCTTTTGATGCATGCAAAACTGTGTGTGCGTGATTGCCATGGGCGATGGGTTTCGAGTATTTGGCTCGCCAGCTACATACTTTCATAGCACTACTATCGTAGCTATAGTTATTGCCCCAAAACAGGGGTGTTTTAGAAACTGGTGTACCACACCCACAAGCATGTAAATAACGAGAGAACATTGTATTTACACAAGTCTGAGGCTATATGTGGAAAAAGAATCGGGTGTGCTGGACTACTACGCGACAGCTACACACGTGAAAGACGTGGCAACAAGACAGTCTGTATGCCACTGTTGGTGATCAGGTCTAATTGGCAAGAGGCTTGCAAATAACGCCACATCTCTCTAATCACTGTATTACAATGTGTATTTCTAAAATCTCCCAGGGCAAACACAGATCTGTGTTTTGTTAACTTGCCTTCATCTTCTTACCCTCCTCCCCTTCGCTCTACCCCTTCCCCTCTCCCTCTCTTTCTTTCTCAAACTTCTCTCTGTCTCTGGGACTCACACACACACACCTGTACGTCATCGACTACCCCTTCCCTTCTCCCTCTGTTTCTCAATTCCCACAGTCTCCTCACCTGAACGTCGTCGACTCTCATCCTCCTCCCTTCTGGAGCCAGGAAGATATCGTCGATGTCCACCATCACCATTCTCTCCCTCCCCTCCCTCACCAGCCTCCCGTCACTCAACTGATGGACACTCTCTAGCAGCATCAGGTGACTCAACCAGAACCTGACTGGAGCTCCCATGACTATCTTTCTCACCCCATCTCTTCCTCCCATGTCCTCTAACACAACTGGGACATCGGTGAAGTCCGTCTCCCCAGTTTTCACTCTAACTTCAACCAGAACTCTGTAGCCATTGGTTCCATTCTTAGTACCAGGTTCACCGTCCCCCATATTGCTCCATGCATTAGCTGCATTGAGATCACCTACTGGGAGTGGTCCTGAGTTAGTCACGTGACTGCCAGGGTTAGTCACGTGACTATCACCTGATGTTTCCAGGGAAAACGTAGTCCAGTTTTTCCCGTGAGGTATTCCTCCACCCGTTGCACCTGGTCGGCCGTAAAAGAACGGGTACCTTGGACTAAGAGTCATGCCAACTATGGCGTCTGGTGCCACACTGCTGGCATGCAGGCGAGAAAAGTGTGGTTTGGGAGTCTGGGAATGGGGGTATGGGAGCACGGCCCACACCAGAGAGAGATGTCTTGCTCGACATAGCTCCAGATACGGCTCCACCAGACTGGCTTGGAAATGCGACACTATAATGAGAATCGATATTTCCCCGAGGTGTTGAGAATACGAACTACTGTTGGTTTTTTCGCCAAGCAACAGTTGACCTTTGACGAGGCTAGTGGTGCGATGAGGGATGCGGTGTGACTCCAGAAATGTCTTAATCTCGTGTGATGGTCGGTAACCATCAGTTCCGTACAGCAGCAGGACACGAGGTGGTTGGGCTTTCTCGGAAAAATGTCTCGATTTTTCCCGTGACTTCACAACCCTACTGTTTCGTTCTTGGTTTGTTTTGGTTGTCGTTTTTTCACTTGTCAAACCCATGAGTGAGCACAGCTGTGGTGGGGCTAGTGTGGCCTGCCGTGGACACATGGGGAAGCTGCAGTTGTGCCAAAGCAGTTGCTGAGGTAGCTGAACTAGTCACAGATCTCTGGTCGGCTGTTTGAACTCCTCTGGAGGGAGTAGAAGTCTTGACACTGTCGGAATACTGTCTGGATATCTCAGTAAAACTCTGTAAACTAGACACGGCGACTAGGAAATTCCCGTTGTGTGAGTCAGTAATCTTCCCACTGGCAGAGTAGGTGATGTGGTGATGGTAGAATACGATGCAGAGACCACAGAGGAGAGCCAACAGTGATAGTTTTCTCCACAGACCAGAGCGAGAGAGGGCACCTCGCAGAGGCACCCTGACACACAGCAAGACTAGTCTCAAACGTGACTGCATCTCTACCATCTATCTGCACATCTGGGAGAGAGATTGTATTATCATAATGTGGCAGCCATAGCACTAGAATAAGTGAGAGACATTTACCACTATGAAGTTCAGTAGCTAGCTGAGCTATGGCAGGCTATATTGCCGTAGGTAAAACGACAAACCTCGAAAGAATTGATCGACGGTTGGTTTGCCGCATTAGCCACTCGTCTGTACCGTACTGCACTGGATCGGTGGCTGGCGGGTAGTTTCGTAGCTATAGTAGTGGAAACTCGTCTTAGCGGCTGCATCAATTATTGTGTGATTGACATGCCGAGGAGGCGTGGCTGCAGCGGAGAGGGCGAAGGTCAACCTCCAGTTTCACGCATGCTCAGAACTTGTGGGCTAGCTCTCAGTCTCATTAAAGATTAATCTATGGTCTCACACACTCGACCGCAAGCCCGGCCCGTGTGATCACAGGATAGACGTATATACTGGTTGAGGGAACCATGACGACAGCAAAAGAGGAAAACTTTATGGTACGAAATCCATGGTGGTCCAGACACCAGGAGCGACAAGTCAATGCCATTCTCATGTCTTTTTGTCAAAGATCTCAATCATGTGATGCTAATAGACTAGTGCAATCCCCATTATACTAAGTACTGCTTGATACTAGAGTAGAGGATAGAGCAATCGGAAATTCAATTGGCTAAGCAAGCATTGTTTATCTACAGTCAAGTCAATGCCAGCAAAGAGTTATTCAATGGGCAGTGTACCTGTGAATAGAGACATACTTTGGCTATTCAGTGAACTGTTAGTGTCAATGGTCTCATTTGGAAGATGAGACTAGTGATGTCACCAATATTATTGGATGCCTCTATGGGCAACAGCTATATAATTATCTCCCAAGACAAAATAAATTAAAAATAAATTACTAATGACTATTATAATACATGTTGTTAACAGTCTGTTGAAGCTGTACTTTCTGTGTATATACCTGTGGTTTATGTATTTCTCTCCCTCACCAGAAAAGTTATCCCAATGACATATCTCTGAGCCTCAGAGGTCTGTACGGCCATCAGAATGTGGTGATCCACACAGCCCAGGTCCTGGGCTCTGGATCCTATGGCAATGTGGTGAAGGCAACACTGGATGAAAAGCCATGTGCTGCTAAAATCCTCCACCGAGTCATCGTGGACTCCCAGGACCCCGGACTCACTGACTTCATCTCTCGATTTGAGCAGGAGTGCCAGATCCAGCGAGACCTGAAACACCCCAACATTGTCCAGTTCCTGGGTGTGGTCCAAGACCCCGCCACCAACAAGCCCATTATCCTCATGGAGCTGATCAAATATTGTTTCTCTTTAACTTCTTTTCTCCCAACCTCAGAATACGACATACCCTACCATGTCCAAGTGAACATCTCCCACGACATAGCTCTAGCAGTGGCTCACCTGCACAGGAATGGCATCCTCCATCGAGACCTGTCCAGCAACAACATCCTCCTGAATGCCAACTACCACGCCAAAGTCACCAACACTGTCGTGTCCAGGATTGCAGATCTGAACCCTTTATGCCCAAGCCCCTAGGGAAACTAGGCTACATGCCACCAGAGGCCCTTTCTCCCCAGCCTCACTACTCAGAAAAGGTCGACATTTTTTCAGTCGGGGTGCTTCTCCTCCAGATTGCTACCAGAAACCCGAATCCTGCCTACACTGCTAGGATGAGTACCCTGACAGATGCTAACGCTCTAATTCCTGAAATCAAGAGTCAATTCGAGAGCCGGAAATCGGATATTGACAAGATTCCATTGTCCCACGGTCTTCTCCCAGTCATTCTGGAGTGTCTCAAGGACACCAGTGAGGAGAGGCCAGCTGCCCCACAGCTCTGCTACAGTATTGGAGAACTGAAGAATACTGCCCTCTACAGTAGGATCAGCGGCTTTCCAGTGCTGGAGGTAAGTGAACTGTCGTATCGACCTCAGTAATAAACCATGGTCCTTAATGAAATATGGGAATGGAAAGGCATGTAAACATCGTGCATTTGTAAATCAGGTGGAAATATTATGTCTGTTTGGTATCTGCCCAACGGTTACCTGCATTTTTTTCCTTTTCTTACGTGCATAGAGTCTACATGAAGCAGCTAAGAGAGGGGATGTGGCTACAGTTGAGTTGTTTCTGGCATACAGTTGTCTCAATGTCAACTCCAGTACCACCCAGGTGAGTCTAGTGCCCTCTATGCAGCCAAGGGTGATTAGCACAGTCATTGTTTACTTGCCAATAGGACAGGTTTAGGGGGATATTTCTTTCTCAGCAGAAAATGGCATGTTAATTGGTAGCTATAATGCTGGTACTACATCAGTGGGACTGAATTTAAGGCATGTATAATTACAACTTCGCAGCAGATAATGGTGGATGTTTTTTTAACAGCAGAACTTTTGGTAAACAAGAAATTGTATAAGCACTGATTACACCTCTTCAAAGGACCAAACACTATTAAACTATTAATGAACGATGCAGGATTCATCACGCCACTCTACTGTGCTGTGACCTGGGGTCATGTGGCAATAGTGAGACTACTGCTGGAGAGGAGAGCTGATCCTAACCTCTGCGTAAAGGTATGTACTGTCAATCATGCAACCATTAACACTTAACCAGCCACAGACACATAAATGCGTCCAGAGCCTCCATAAGTCCATAAGAATTTATATGGGGGGTTATAATACTAGGCACTAATACTTTATGCATAAAATTCTGCTTGAAGATACCCATAGCATCCAAACGATATTGATTTTGCAATGAATCACTGAGCTTTCATCTTGGATGTGCACTTGAAAGTAGAATTATAGTAATGTGCTTAATAACAAATATTTTGTTTTGCAATTTAGCATTGGCGACTTTTGGAGCTATACAATTCATTGTAGGTGTTAGTTTTGCTAATGGGATAGCAGTCTCTTGGAGGCTGTCCCTTGTTGCTATTCTGAGATCCCTAACTGTAATCTTCAATGAGCTTCTTCGTTCCTCTCTTTACCAAAGCTGGTGTTGTTGAAATGTGTTCTATGTCCCTACAGAATGGGTTCAGTGTTCTGAATTCAGCCAGCCTGAAAGGTTACACTGAAATAGTGGACCTACTAGTCCATGCAGGAGCTGACATCCACCTGGCCAGCTCTGATGTTAGTAACACATTATAGTAAGAGCTGTAGGAATAACCTTTAATTAATAAGGACCCTCCAAATTTAAGGGCACCTCTACAGCAGACACTTGATGTGTGTTCCCCATACTCTTACTTCATTCTGTATACTGCCTCTGGATAAAGGTAACTGACGAGGTATATAAGATGGAACATTAACATACTGTACAGCATGCATTACAATACAAGTTCATAGAGGGACGGAGAAACCAGGGGCTGAGTTCGGAATTAGCAGTTTCAATGTCTTCAATGTGTCCCTTACTAATTGCTCATTACTCCTTATCCCTCCACACAGTGTGGGTTGTTTCCTCTGGAGCTAGCTGCCCAGAAAGGACACACTCAGACTGTCCAGACACTGTTGGAGTACGGAGCTAACCCCAACCAACAGACCATGGTATTAATAACTACATTTGACACTCGACATGCTACCTAGAATAATACTCTAGCTCCACCAGACTGAACAAGCCGATATGACCGCACATTTATGAATGAAAAAGCACTGAAGCGCAAAC